GCATGTGCCAGCTGACCTGTAGCTGTCCACTATCAGCTTCATTGATTTAAGGACTGTAAGCTCTTGGAGGATAAAGTCCACGCCTCACTCATTTTTCTGTTCTTCGACATCACACCTAATAGACACTCAGTAAATCTTTGATCAATGAATTAGAACATAATTTACCCACTATGTTAGAAACCTGACTTTATGCTGTGTCCAGAGTCTTGGAGACAAAAATTGGAAGAATTTCAGAATACAACAATAAAACCCAATGTCTAAAAATGTGGGGGACACAAAATGTATATTTGATATGTATGTGGTGGGGGGGCAGTTAAAGAAATTAAACCTAAGGGTAAGGTTCAGTGGTAGAGTACTTGCCTAGCATTTATGAGGTCCTGGGTTAGGAGGAGGAGGAACGAGCAGGGGCTCTGTTTTAGACAGAAAAACACTTGCTGTGCAAGCATGAGGACCTGAGCTCCAGCCTCAGCATTCATCCCTGTAAAAATCATGGTGGCAAGAGCTTGTAATGCCAGTGCTGGAGAGGAGATGGCGGATCCCTGGAGCATGTCTGCTAACCAGCCTAGCCTAACTGGTGAGCTCCAGATCCCAGTGTCCTGTCTCCCATCTCAAAAACCAAGGTTGACAGCTCCCAAGGAATGATACCTAGGTCAACTCCCACCTCTCTCTCTCTCTCTCTCTCTCTCTCTCTCTCACACACACACACACACACACACACACACACACACACGTTCAAAAATAATTACAGAAACCTAGATGACAGAAGTGACTTTGAACAGTGACGTGACGTCACAAGATCCTCAAATGGGTAAAGACATGATGTTATAAGAGAACTTGAATTTCTTTTTGGAGCAAAGCAAAGTAAGGCTCTGGTGTTCATGGGGCAGTAAGAGAGCTCTCAGAGTGGAGGCATGAGAGGGTGGGAGGGAAGGCAGAGGGAAGCGCTTTGTGCTCTTCCACCTTTGTGAGCTAGTAGCATATTCTATCTACCAAAGTATGTGAGATATGTCAAGCTTTTAAACTTCTAGATATTTTTTTTCTAAGATTCCAGGATCTATTTTAAAGGAGAAAGGGGGATTTAGCCCAGGAAGGACAGGAAGAAATGGTAGAGACTGGCTCAAACCCGGATTAGGATAGAAAACAAGTCAGAGAGAGAGAGACAGAGACAGAGAGAGTGAGAGCCTTTGATGTCTTGACAACCAAGAGCCATGGCCCGTGGCTCAAGGACCAGACACTTAAATCATGTGGCATTTACTAGCCCAGATTAAAAAAAAAATACCCTTGTGCATCAGTATGTGTACTAAGAATGGCGGGCTTCCAAAATCAGTCTTAACTTTGTGAGGGTAACGTTTGATGGCTTCCTGTAAGAAATGAAGGAGCGTCTCCAGAAGGGGCAGCTTAATAATTTTCTACTCCCCCACTCCCAAATGGCTAACTGGTGTTCCTTTCTCAGAGCCCAAGTTCACACTGAGGGCAAAGGGAATTAAGCAAAGAGGCTGAACCTGCAGCTGAGACTAGAGAGCTGCCAAGGGCCTAATTTTAGGCCCTTGCTGCCCCAGCTGACGGCCTGCACTGCTGGCTTAGCCATGGGGACCACAAGTGTGGCCATGAGCTGGTGCCCGAGTGGGGAGAGCTACTCCCTGGCCATCTGCAAAAGCAATTAGCTTGCTGATGGGTGTGTTTTGAGAGGGACTACCAATAATTTCTCCTTCAACAAATGTTTCTTCAGGTGTTCAAGAGTCAAGGAGGGAAAACGTCAGAGCTTGGCAGACATTCCCACAGGCAGACATTCTCACATTGCTGCTTTCCTGTTTAGCAGAGATCTCCACATGGGAACTAATCCTGGAATTCCTAGGTTTTCATGACAAATCACCTTTGATCAGTGACTCTAAACTTACTGCCACAACCCAGGGAAAGTGTGGTTGGAGACTCAGCTTGATGAAAATGGGCACAGATGGACAGGCAGCTTTGATTTTGTGGGACGTCTCACAGCAGTCTTCTGTGAGGATTTGGGCTGTCCCCTGGTCTCCATATATTTTCCACTTACAAGTTTCATGCTTAATTGTCTTCTTCAGAGGCCAGACAATAAGAGCTGGCATCTTTCAGATCAAAGGGGAAACAGAATATATTTTAAAGTGACAACTCTGTTATCCTGTGACCAGAATAAAACCAGAATAAACTGATGTAAATATAAGCCCTTAGACAGGTCCATGGTAAAATGCACAATCTCTCTAATTACAACAAAGTAATTCTCCTCACACACCACTCAGAAGAACACATCTTAGTTTTGTACAATTCTCATGCCTGTGGCAACCCACCTCAGCAATGGAGATTTTTCTGTCCCTGCAGGTTCAGAGCTGGGCTTATCCACTGGGGCTGTCTGCAGAGCAGACTGCTAACAATGGCTCTTTGCCAGGGGCAACGAAAAAGCAGGCTGAGGTGGTGCCCAGGCCAGGGAATGCAGCCCTTAGAGGAGGATGCGCCCTTGGTCAGGGCCACTGTTGTGAAGATACACAGACAGCTTGGGGGCTTCTCTCCATTTTCCTCTCCAATTTCCCAATACCTTTGTTCTTCCCACCTACTTGCCTCACATCCTAATGTCGATCTGTCCGTGTGTACTTCTACACCTGCCCCAAGCACGCATACACATACACATGCATGCATGCACATACACACAGTCGCACCCCTCTTCCCTGTCTCTTGGCGCTGGCCCTTTCATCTTCTCCCTCAGGGATTGGAGATGTCGCTGCAGGAAGTGCTTGTCCGCCGAGGCAGCAGCCAGCAGAGCCCTGTGGCTTTGACAAACCTCATTTAATTGGGAGGAAGCCAGGAGAATTTGAAAGAACTGAAACATCCACGAAACTCCTTTTATCAGGCATAATTTAAACTCTGCATGGAAAAACCCCTATATGTATAAAGAAAAGTCAACTTCCCTCCTGCTGCGAGCACTCCTCATCTCCCCCCAGCACAGGCAGGCTCCTGCAAGATTCCATCTTTTCATTTTTCTCAAAGTGTCAAAGTAGATTTGGGCTCTGCAGCAGGGTGAACAGAGAAGGAATACAGATTGTTCTCTCTCTCACCTGTGCACACACACACACACACACACACACACACACACACACACACACCTTTAGATAGTGTATACACCAGTCTGTCGGTTGATAGCTTTGCTTCAGATTTCTAGGGAGAATCAAAATCCAAGTTCCTAGGGACACAACGGTTTGGATAGTGACTGTTGCTTCCTAATTAAAAAGCTGGTGCCCAGAAAACCTTGAAGATCTCAGCAGTTCTCAGTGTCCAGAATAATAGGCTCCACAGGAAGCTAACAGGGAACATTTCTTTAAGGAGTGAGAGGTGAGTGGGTGTGTGTGCAGCCAAACAAGCACAGTATGAGATGTAGTAGGGTTAGGTGTTGAGAGGGAAGGATCGTAGGCACAGATAGAAAGAGGAGAGCATAACGGGACAGGTAGGGTGGACCCATACGAGGCACAGGTGCCGGGAAATGGGTGCGAGCTATAGCTTGACTGCAATGTCCTTCATTTGACCCACTTGCCCAACCCCATCCCTCACCTCCCTGCAACCCCCCTCCTGATTCTCCTCAGGCTCCTCCGTCGCTCCTGAATTATCCTCATTTCTCCATAGCTGCCTTCAGCACATGTGGCCCCTGAACATCTGTGGCCGATTAGAGCAGATTTCAGCTGCTTTGATATGATTTGTGCTAATATGTGTAGAGGGTGCCCCGTTTCCCCTTCATCACCTTCTTTTCCTCCCACTCCTTAAGATCCTCCAGGCCAAGGACACGTTTCTTGTTTTCCTCAACTTTTTATAGCAATCCATGTGTTCTTGACACTTAATGGCAGCTTTAATAAATTCTAATGGCTGCCTCTTCTCACAGGGTTAAGTAAGATATTAACCTCAGATGCACGATGATGGTTATTTTTAGAGAACTTAAGTGACTCGCTTTAATAATAAAACTCCACAATAATCCCAAACTAAGAGATTGGTGGCTATTTCACAACAATGTCTGAGGTCCAGGGAAGCTGTGTTTAGGAAGCCTGGCAATTGGACAAGGCTGTGCCTATGCCTCCTGGCGGGCCGTTAGCCCTGCTCCCCAGTACACCCCATCCCCACTCTCACCCCACGTCCACCCCGGTCCCCTCTTCCCAGGCTGACCCCCCAAGCCTTCCTGCTTAGCTTTCTTTTCTTTGGCTCAGGACTTCAAACAATGATTTTCCACTGAGTGGGGATATTTTCAAAGAAACCTCACCTAAGGATATTCTCCCCAGCCCGCCCTCAGCAGCCCAGGCCTTGACCGCACCACCCACATCCTCCTCAGAGCCCTTCCTGGCCACAGTCTGAGAAACCCAAGTAGAGCTCCTGCCACGTGACCCCCACGGCAGATTTCAGATTTGGAGGATGACTTCAGGCGCAGGCAGCCAAGGCTGGTTTCAGGGTAACCCGTGTTTGCAGTGGGCGCCTCTCCTGGGAGGGCACTTTCCTTACCCCAGCGCCCAACCTCCCAGCTTCCTTCTGCGGCATCGTGTTACCAATCAAGAAGGGCCCATCTCTCCTTCCTGACATATCCATGTCACCTCTCGTCTTACTCTCTTGGAAGGGAGAAGCAGCTTGTTAGAAACTTTGGTTTTGCTTCTCCTGGCAGATGCTCGCTAAAGCAAACACCTCAGAGGCAACTTTCATCTCCTCCAATTTCTAAGCATATGCTTGTGTGGGGGGAAGGTTTGCATCACAACAAGGAGGTCCTTGTCACCTTTGCCTACCGTGCTTCCGGGTTTTACAGAATCTTACTCAAAGCTCAGTAGAGACTGGGCCCCTTTGCTTCTTTCTGGAAAGCAAATTGACCTCTGACTTCACTTCTGGTTGTAGACTCTATGATTCTTCAGTGTTGGGGGGAAACACGCAAGATGAGACTTGCTGCATATGCACGCGTGCGTGAACACACACACACACACACACACACACACACACACACACACACTTACCATCAGGAAGCTGGTACAACTGGGATGGAAGGACACTGAAATAATCATGAACGAGTGCTTCCTGTGCTGATACTCGGTCCCTAGGGAAACCTTTTAGCATCTGGGAGGCCAGGTCTTCAGCTTCAGGAACTCCACCCAACCTAGAAAAGTAGAGGGAAGAACCAAAGCTGCTCTAGAGGCTGCTATTCTGGAAGAGGGAGCAGATTAAAAACTGCTTAAGTGACAAGGCTTAACATGTCTCAAATAGGTCCTTCCTGGGCCACCAAAACAGATGGCAAGTGAACAAATAACCCAACACCAAAACTCCTACGTGGCCTGTCACTGGGAGGAAGGGAGACAATGTCTCTGTATGCACGCAAAGGATACAGATTTGTGATTCTAGAAACAGAACTATATTATTAAGGCTTCTTCTTGGAGGGACACTGCAGCCCCCACCAAGCAGGAAAGCCCAGTTGGCAGGGCGTTCCAGGCTCTGGGTACCAAAGACAGGAAGCATAGAGTCCTTCCTGATGGGGGAGACAATCTGGAGAGTGGAGGCAGGGTGGAAATATATATTAACAGGGTTTCTGAAGCTCAGTCCCAGGGTTATCAGCTAAGACATTTCCTTGGTTCCTCTTGAGATGGAGCTGGGCGGTGGCAATAACCAGGTACCCAATCAAGTTGTAGAAAGCAACTATGTTTACTGAACAGCTATCACATGTTAACAGATGGCTGGTTCTGGGAGGCACCAAGCAAAACCTACCCACCAAGCTGTCCCACAAACACACTGAAGGAAAAGGCCCTCCTCTAGGCTGAAGGTTTGAAGTCTTGGCATTAGAAGGTCTGACCTTTGGGAGATAGTAAGGTTATAGGGGAAGAGCCTTCTTGATGGGCTCAGTACCTTCATTGGATGACCTTTGGGGAACCCTTTCATTTCTTCTACCATGTGAAGACATGCCAAGAAGGCATCGTGTATGAAGCACAGAGTCCTCATCTGACATTAAATCTACTGGTGCCCTCATCTCAGACTTCCCGGCTGCTGGAATCTTCTTGTTGATCATAAATTATCCAAAGTATTTTGTCATCTTAGGCTGAATTATCCATCTAAAACACTGTTTGTTCTAACAGCCCTCATCCCTGACCTGGAATGCGAGGGCATGGTCAGGACTGGAGCCTGACATCCTTCATTGAATTGCATGGCCACAAATGAACCAGTCAAATAAAACCTAGAGGGGCTTGCTTAATGTTAAAGCCACACATCAGCATGAAGTAAGGAGAGGCATGTTCTCTCCTTGGACACTCATGATGCAAGGATCTTGGCGGTCTTGTCCTACAGTTGTGATTTGTCTGATTCTCACCCCCCCCCCCACAAAAAAATTTCTG